GCAACATTCCTTCTATTTTATATTTTTTGGAATAATTTGAGTGTTATCTTCTTTGAAAATCTGGTAGAATTCTGTGCTGAAACCATCTGGCCCTGGGCTTTTATTGCTTGGGAGACTTTTAATGATTGCTTCTATTTTGTTGAGGTGTATAGGTCTGTATAAATTGTTTTTCTGATCTTGACTTAATTAGATATATGGTATCTATCATGAAATTTGTCCATTCCTTTTAGATTTTCCATTTTTGTGTAATATAGATTTTTGAAGTATGACCTAACAATGGTCTGCATTTCCTCAGTGTCTATTGTTATATTGCCCTTTTCATTTTTGAATTTGTTTATTTGGATATTCTCTTTCTGCTTCTTAGTTAATTTGGATAAGAGTTTATGTATTTTGTTGATTTTCTCAAAGATTCTACTCTTTGTTTCATTGATTCTTTGTATTGTTCTCTTCATTTCTATTTTATCCATTTAAGCCACAGTTTGATTATTTCCTGCCATCTACTCCTCTTGTTTGAGGTTGCTTTTTTTTTGTTTTAGAACTTTCAGGTGTGCGGTTAAGTTGCTGGTATGATATTTCTCCAAATTCTTTATGAAGGCTCTTAGTGCTATGAACTTTCCTCTTAGCACTGCTTTCATTGTGTCCCATTAGTATGCTTATGTTGTGCATTAATTTTCATAGAACTCTAGGAAGTCTTTAATTTATTACTTTATTTATTCTGTGCCCCAGTGGTAATTCAATTGAGAGTTATTCAGTTTCCATGCATTTGTAGGCTTTCTTTAATTTGTATTGTTGTTGAACAACTTTTATCCATGATGATCTGATAGGTACAGGGGGTTATTTCATTTTTTTAAAATCTGTTAAGACTTACTTTGTGACCAAGTATGTGGTCAATTTTTGAGAAGTTCCATGTGGTGCTAGCAAGAAGGTCTATTCTTTGGTGTTTGGTTGGAACATTTTATAGGTATCTGTTGGGTCCATTTGAATCATAATACCAGTTAGTTCCATTATTTCTCTGTTCCGTTTATGTCTGGACATCCTGTCCATTGTTGATAGTGAGGAGTTGAAGTCTCCCATTATTATTTTTTGGGTTTTGAGATGTAATTTAGGCATTCTTTTACAACTGTGGGTGCTCTTGTGTTTGGGGCATAGACATTCAGAATTGAGACATCATCTTGGTGGATTTGTCCTTTGATGAATTTGCAGTGTCCTTCTCCATCTCTTTGATTAATTTTGGTTTGAAGTCTATTTTGTTTGATATTAGGATTGCTACACCAGCTTATTTCTTTGGTCAGTTTGACTAGAAAATCTTTTCCCAATCTTTTGTTCTGAGGTAATGGCTGTTTTTGATGTTGAACTGTGTTTCTTGTGTGCAGAAGCAGAAAGGATCCCATTTTCATATCCATTCTGTTAGCCTGTGCCTTTTTATTGGTGAATAGAGTCCACTGATATTGAGACATATTTGTGACTGGTGATTGTTAATTCCTGTTGTTGATGTTGTTGTTGTTGTTGTTGGTGGTGGTGTGTGTGTATGTGTTTCCTTTCTTTGGATTTTGCTGGTGTGGGATTATATATTGCCTGTGTTTTCATGGGCATAGGTAACTTTCTTGGGTTTGAATTTTCCTTCTAGTTCCTTCTGTAGAGCTGGAATTGTGAATAGATACTGATTAAATTTGGCTTTATCATGAAATACCTTGTTTTCTCCATCTATGATGAATGAAAGTTTTGCTGGGAATAGTAGTCTAGGCTGACATCAATAATCTCTTAAATTCTGTAAAAGGTCTGTCTAGGATCTTCTGGGTTTTAGAGTCTCGATGAGAAGTCAAGTGTAATTCTAATAGGTCTACTTTCATATCTTACTTGGCTTTTTTCCTTTATGGCTTTAAATATTCTTTCTTTATTCTGCATGTTTAGGATTTTGGTGATTATGTGGTGAGGGTTTTTTTTTTTTTTTTGGTTAATCTATTTGGTATTCTGTAAGTTTCTTGTACCTTTGTAAGTCTGTCCTTCTTCAGATTGGGAAAATTTTCTTCTATGATATTGTTGAATATATTTTCTAGGCCTTTGAGGAAGGATTCTCCTCCTCCTCCTCCTCTTCCTCCTCCTCCTCCTCCTCCTCCTTCTATTCCTATTGTTTTTAGGTTTGGTCTTTTCATAGTGTTCCAGATTTCCTGGATGTTTTGTGTTAGGAATTTTTTAGATTTAACATTTTCTTTGACTAATGAATCTATTTCCTCTATTGTATCTTCAATGCCTGAAATTCTCTCTTATATCTCTTGTATTCTGTTGTTGATGCTTGCATCTCTAGTTCCCATTTGCTTAGCTTATTCTATTTTTCCATTTCCAGAATTCCCTCAGTTTGTATTTTCTTTATTGAATCTTGTTCAGGTCTTGAATAGTTTTATTTGTTTCTGTCAACTCTTTATTGTTTGTTTGGTTCTTCTTGGTTGTCTTGACATTCTCAAAGAGATTTATTGATTTTTTTCCAATTTTTTGGTTGTCTTTTCCTCTATTTCTTTATATTTTTTTCATTTCCACATTAATAACATCTGTCATCTTCATAAAGTTACTTTTATGTTTGTTTTCTTGTGCTTTATATAAATAAAGGTGCTTTGGAATGTTCAGGTCTTGCTGTTGTAGGATAGCTCAACTCTGGTGGTGACATATTACCCCTTCTGTTACTGATTGTGTTCTTACACTGGCATTTGGGCATCTGGATTTGGGATTGATTCCTGTATTTGTCTTGGTTGGATGGGTTTCTGTTTCCTCTCTGGTCTTCTAGCCTAAGTGGCCAAGGGTTCTGGTGACTGAAATGTTTGGACCCCATAGGGTGTATCTGCTGGGGTTTTTGGAGCCTTGGGTCCCTTGATCTGGTCTAACTTCCAGCAAAACTGAAATCTTGTTGAATCTCTAGATCTAGTGTGGCTTCCAATAAGGGATGATTTTTCTTCTGGGGTGCTTAGGACCAGCCTGGCCTCTGGTAGAGGTACTTGACCTGTTCTTCCAACTTGTGTGGACTGTGTCTTGATCTATGGAGTTTGCTGGAATTCTGAAGAAGAGCCACTTTTTGGATGGTGAGGGTCATTTTGGCTGGTGTGGTCTGCACCTCAGTGGCAGAAGTCCACTGGGGTTAGGGGTAGGGCCCAGCTACAGCTGGGCCAGGGACAAGTTGGGATAGCATTGTCTTGTAGAAGAGTCTCAGGAAATAGAATCCAGGGAAGGGTATAGTTCTATAAGCAAAAGGGTCATTCACCTGTTCTGACTAGTGTAATCTGTGCCTCAATGGCAGAAGTTCACTGAGATTGGGGGTAGGGATCCAGCAGCAGCAGGGCCAGGTACAGCTGATGCTGGGATGGCATTAGCCTCCGGAAGGGTCTCAGGGGACAGAGTCTGATCTCTGTTTTATATGTGAAAACAAATTGAAAAGTAGTTATATGGTGTGCTATAAGTCACACATGCCTTTGAGGTGGTAGCACTCGAAATCTAGCCTTGCTTTGGTTTCTGAGTCAGTCCACTAAGGCCATTTCAGTGCAGCACTGTAAACAGGATAGCTTGTAAACAGAAGAAATTGATTTCCCGAAGAATCGAGATCTGTTAAGGTCTTGCTTCCTTAATGATAATGATCTCCATATGAGTTCTCACAGACAGAACCTAGGGGACTTAAGTCAGGTGTTAATTACACCCTTGAGGTTTCCCAAAGTACCTACGTTCTGGTGCCATCACTTTGGATATGAAAACTTCAATGCACAAACATCAAGAAGTCAAAAGCATTTATTCACATAGCAGAACTATTAGACAATTTTAAATAAAAAGCTTCTTGTGTATTATCAATCAGTAAAAGCCTTGTAGCAAGAAATTTAGTGAGATCGAACATTATTGAACTGCAAATTGTTCAATACTTTTCCCCATTTCTTCTCAAAGGTACTAATAAACTGATAAATAGCACTGTCAGCAGGGACTCCTAGTATACTGGAATGTTTCTATTGGAATGTGCTACAGTATCTGAGGACGTATTTAACTGAAACTCGACATGTTTTTCTGTTGTATGCTACAATTTGCCTGACACAATTTAGTACAGAATATAGGAGGGACATTTGTGCACTTGCAGATGCAACACTGTCTATTTATAGTACATACTAACTTGTCAAGTATAGGACATTACCTGCGATGATCACATTTGGTATGGAGGGAGAATTTGATATACTGTGAAAACACGACAATTAACTAGGAGAATGGAATTTGGGTATGGTGATGATGGGTGGGACATAGGGTGAGTATTCTAGACCAAAAAGACATGTGTGAAGACCCTTAATGTGGCATGAGAAACAAAGATTTCAAGAAACTGAGAAGGCCGTACAGTTTTAGAAAGGTGAATCTATGGAAATCTGTGATAAGTCAACGTAAGAGCAGTGCCATTTCATTAACTCTCCTGGACATGGGCAGAAAAAAAATATTGCTTGAATGAAATGCAACTACTTCTTCCATACATGGAGTAGAGTGAGTTGTTCTATGATCAGGCAGGACAGTAACTAGACAGTTTATACACAGAGATTCTAAGTGTGTGCTAACTGCTACAGGGTCCCTCTACTCCTAGGTCAGTTACATTAGAGGATCCCTGAGAATCAAGGCTTCTGTCCCAGTTGGCAGGTCAGATAAAATACATTGACTGTCCATCTTGATTACTGTATATGATACTATATATTACTGTCATTACTGTATATATAAAAATTTTAATTTTGATGGTGTCCCCGAACAGTAAATATTCCCAGAGATTAGTTCTTTCTCAGGTTCTTTGGCAGTATCAATATCTGCATTGGCTTTATGGCATGCTATTGACAGCAGATATTAGTTCACTTTGCCATCTTTCCTCCAGACAGCAGGGCTGATATCTTACTTGCCAGAATATGAGTTCCTTCTATCCACAAAGTAATTTATCATAAAAAAAATCAGAATAACCACAGTGGTCTTGATTTGCGGGGTTTTGTTCAATAGCTCTGACTTGCTCATTGGCCATGAACTAGAGTTTCACTCTGTCATATAGATGTTTTCTCTTGGACATCTAATTCCCCAAATACTCATTGCAGTTTGCAAAGGTGACACATTTATTATTTGAAAGGAGAGTGGCACTGAGAAATGTTTGTCAGTTCTTTTAAAGCTGTGAGAAATAGCAGCTGCTGTTTCCTCCACTTGACCCTTTGTATCACACGGAGAGAGTGAGGTGAAAACCCTTAAAGAGATGTTATCTTGTGGCTTTTGTCTTCACTTTATTCCTTAGCTCTCTGGGGTCTTCCTCCTGTAGTGAAGGAAAGCAATAGATTCCCAGTCATTTAATATTTAGAGGAATTAATATTTCAGTTAGTGATGGATGAAGCCAGTAAATTGAACTTTAGCTTGTAGATTGGTAGATTGAAGTCAGTCCAGAGGAACATCAAACAGATTTATTACACACATGAACACACACACACACACACACACACACACACACACACACACACACACGGCTTGCAAAAGCTGCCATGTAAATTGGTTCCTGGTTATAATTTCACATTCTCAAAAAATGTAATTTTTACTGATAGTTTCTAAGATAATTTTTCCTTTTAAAGGAATGATTCTTTTCCATGATCCTGTGATTCCTTGGAAAACAATTTTATTTCTTCCCATGATGATCCCATTGTGATGATCAGGCTGTGTGTGACGGTGATAGGTCTGTACTTCTGCCCAGTACTATTTGTAGAGACAGTCTCTCAACATACACTTTGTCTTAATTATCTGTTGTCTCCTCTAATTTTAGGCTATAAGAAACTCTGCATAGTTAGAATGAACAACAACATCAATACGAATAACATGCTTTTCTGAATATCAAATTGATTTTGTATGCATGATTTCATTCATTTCTTCAATAACTGTATTCAAAATATCTTTTTGCTTTTAAAAAGTGTATGATTTAAAGGATTTATTTGATATATGCATGTCCCTTCTGATGATACCTTTCTGTGCTCATGTCCCTTTAAAGAATGTTTCTTCTTTTTTTTCTGAAACCTTTCTACTGATTTTATTCTGGTTGACCACACTGTTTTTAGTCTGTTTAGTTATCAGTAATTTTTCTTTTTAAATGGTTTAAAGTTTCTCCTAATATTTAATGACCGTGATTATTATACCAGTGATGACTCTGTGTTCCAGATGGATTTCTCTATAGGGTGACCATCTGGGTCAATTTGTGAAGGGTACATCTTGATTATACTTGTTTCATTCAAAAACATTACTCAGTGTCTGAAAGGTCTGGGATTTCAGACTTGATTATGATGATTATAGCCTGTTCTGATGACTAATGTACCCAGGACCCCGCTTCTCTCACCATTCTGTAGTTTTACTGCCACTTTGGTCCAGAGGCTGAGAGCTGGATGCTCCCTGTTGAAGCTTCTCTGGGCAACCATTGAACGGTAAATGCCTGGCCCAGCAGTTTGCCTGTGTCCTCGTCCTCCCGCTTCCAGCTTGGTCTCCTGAAAAACCTTGAGCTGAGAGACCTAGGCAAGTGAGTTGTAATTCAATTCCTGGAAGAGTCATGAAAATATAGCATAGGCCATTTCCCTAACAGGTGTAAAGCATTCAAAAACTGTGTGTTCAGCGATCGCAATTGGGTTCTCTCAACATTCATAATTTTATTTATATAGAAGGACAAAGGACAAAATTGCAGACATTACAATGGATTCTTCAAATTATGTGTGAAATTAATTTTCTTGATGGAAATATTTGAAGATATACAATCAAAGCTAGGAAAGATCAAGTAATTAAAAAGAAGGAGGAAGAGGAGGAGGAGGAAGAGGAGGAGGAGGAAGAGAAGGAGGAGGAGGAGGAGAAGAAGAAGAACCAAAGAAAGACTTTGAGCCTCCAGAAAGCTTTTTCCTATTAATATACTACAGAGACCTCATTCTTTTTGAAACCCCAAATTCAATTTTTGTCTTAAGCACATGATTATGTCAGACATATAAGTGCTTCTGAAACTGCCTTTGAACATGATTTAGATCCACAAGAGCCTAGAAATGAAATCTTTATAGATAGAGACTGGACTAGAAATTTTTTTCCCAGTGGGATTCAGTATGGCATTATATGTAAACAGTTTATCAGATAGCATGGTTGTTAGCATATCTATTTTTCTCAAACACTTACCATGTCAAAATCCTTTTTTTTTTCATTTTACATAACAACTGTTCCCCCTCCCCCTTCTCCCATTCCCCCCTCCCCCTTTCATAACATTCATTGCCCCAACTTTGTATGCAAGTCCGTGTGGACTACTCAAGGGAAGCCTTATACCCTATATGGAATTGACTTTTTTTTTTTTTAACAAAAACTTTTTTGTTCATTTTACATACCAAAGATCCCTCTCTTGCCTCCTAAGTTCCCTCTAGCCTCCCCCTCCCAACCCAACCCCCATACAAGAAGGTAAGGCCTCTCATGGGGAGGTACATTTAGTAGAGGCAGGTCCAAGCCCTTCCCCCTGTCTCAAGGCTGTTCCAGGTGTCCCATCATAGAGGTGGGCTCCAAAAGGCCTACTCATGCACCAGGAATGGATTCTGATTGTGCTGCCAGGGGGCCCCTTAAGCAGATCATGCTACACAACTGTCTTGTTATGCAGAGAGCCTAGTCCATGGACTGGACATTTTAAGGTGCATTTTCTCCATGAACTGTTGCTGGTAAATCTTGTGTTTTCTGTTTCCTCCAAGCTTGGCTTATACTGCTTGTGACATTTTTGTTTGGAATTTTGTTATGAAATATGACTATAATAAATTAAATAATGGCAGTAGATAATGGTCACTGGAGCAGATACTGCTAAATGCTGAATCAATACCCATTTGGTCTTGTTTCATTGAACAGTAATAAGTTATTGTTTGGGGTTGCTGTATGCATAGCTCACAAGTGTCCATTTCTATGTTTCCCTTCCAGACAGACTGGCTGTGGAACTCAGTCCTGCCTTAGGTGGAATGAGTGGGGAGTATTAGTTGTCTTTTCAATCTCTCCAAACAGTAAAAAGAATGTATAGTTTTGTCTCTCAAAGCTAAGCAATCCACAACTATCAATATTGAAAACTGACAAGAAAACTTATAAAAGGAGGAAGGAATAGTTCAGAGATTAACTATGCAGAGGCAGATCGTGTTGTACAGAAGGAACTAATGCTAAGTTGATAATATTCTGGAAAACATAGTGGTTTGTGTTTATCATTATTGGTTAGCTAAATTTTATATTAAATTTTATTGGTTAGCAGTAATTTATGCTGATTATCATTTAAAGGCATACATTTTATATTCCAAAAATGGTTTATTTATATAACAGATATGAAAACCGCAGCAAATAATGTACTATATGTTTTTAATTTCTTTTACAACAAATATTGGCAAGACCCAGTCAAACTCTGTCTAGAGTCAGTAGTCCTCAGTATGACTTGTAACTTTAATCATGAATTATTTTTCAGTTTTTACAGTCTCTAAGTTATTGCTCCATTAAGTCTGTAAGTCTTTTACAGACAATCTTTTACAATGATTGTAGTGTGCTATCCTCTGCATCATTTAGGATATTACCAGAAGCATTTCCCATTGACAGAGTAGCAGGAAGGTACTCCATCAGTACAAAGCAGCCATCTCCTAACGTATGTGGAGATGTTGGAAAAGAGGGTCATGCTGCTGCCTCTTGCTGACACACACTGCTTCCGAGTACATTGTAAACTGTTCTCAATCCCACCTCTCTCAGTATTTCTTTGAAGTCAAACTTTCTCTATTCATAACTAAATTAGAATAAGTTGTATATCATGGGACAGGCTTTTGTTTAATTTTCACATCTTGCTGCTGAGATGCCTGGCAGTTTTACTTTAAAACTATCAACATCTATTGCAGTGGTCCTGTTACTGTGACCCTTTAATACAGTCCCTCATGTTGTGGTGACCTCAGTCATGAAATTATTTTCATTGCTACTTCATAACTATAATTCTGCGACTGCTATGAATCATAATATAAATATCTGTTTTTCAAGGGTATTAGGTTCCAACTCCTTGGAAAGGGTTGTTGGACCCTCAAAGGGGTGGTGACCCATAGGTTGAGAACAGCTGATCCAGATGACCTATGAAACTTTAAACTCTGATAATATCTTTCCTAAATTAATATCCAACATAAACATAGTGTTCATATACAGATCTCTGCTGTAGTAAAAACCGTGAAGCAAAAATTAATGACAAAAGGTAAGTTTTCTATTGTGTCTAAAGTATAATATAGTCATAGCTCATCATTTTAGGATTAGAACATAGAAGCAAGCTTCAGGGGCATATGTGAATTCTTTGATAAGTCTCAAATTCCCTATACACTTCTTAGTCTAAGCTTGATCACCTAATTGTCCTTTTTATTTCTATTTTTATTTTCTGTTCAATCGATGAAACAACCTTTGATAGATATATAGCAAAATGCCTACTTTGATGATAAACAGAATTTTCATTTTAGCTCTGTTAATATGTTTTATACATTTTGCTTTTTTATTATCAGGTTCATATCATTTAATATTATTACATTTTCATGAAAAGTGAACTGTGTTCATAGTTTCTTTTTAAATTTTAACTTGCAGGCTGCTGGTAATGTAGTTTTCCTCTTTTTTCATAGATTTTTTTTTAAATTACTTAGCCTAATATTCTTGAAAGCATACTTTTTTGAATATTTGGATAACAATATGCACATTTTTTAAGCTCACCTAGTTAAAATCTAATCTTTGAAAATAAATAGTATGTCTATTGTGTCTATTGGGATTTGATAACAAGACATTTTACACAGAAATTTTTTGCATTATGACATTCATAATTAAATCTGATCAGAAATTTAAGAAACAAATAACAAAAATCTTACAGAAAGTCTTTCAGAAAATGAATTAAGAAGGCACTTTTCCAAGTTATTGTAGGAATCTCAGATCATAATAGCAAAGCTGGAAGAACAAAAAAAAAACAGTATTCTTCAATGACACAGGTACAAAAAATGCTCAAGAATACATACAACTAACATGGTGTCTTGAAAATGTGGAATTTATCTCAGAAATACAAGGGTTTTTTTCCACATTCACAAAATAAATAAATAATTTTTTGCCTCAATATAACATTCCTCTGGTAGGTGCAGGTAAATAGTTACATGTTATGTTAAGACCTTTCATGATAAACTGTTTCAGTGAACAGAAAATGTAGAGCCCTTTCAAAATTGGGTTAATGGAATTGTGTCCCTTTAAGTGTGTATGCTAAATATACGTTGGAGACAGACATTTAAAAATGCAACTGGAAACGATAAGAGAAAATTCACAGAGACGATAACATCCATATGCCAGGGAGAAAGTGTCAATAGAATGGAATCACAGAATCATAATGACTTCTTGAGCCTCAAATTGAAAATCTCAGAGATGTTAGAAAAACGATGTCTGTGTTTCCAAACCCCATTTGTGGTATCTATATGACAGCCTATCTGGCGACAGGGCAAACACAGAGGTTAGAGATGCTCTCCTGATAAACAGCAAGGAGCTGATGGATGTCCTCAAAGCCAGCAAGTCATTCTTATCGCTCGTTTGTTTCTTTTTGAGATTTTCTTTACTATTATTTCTTGGTGGTTTTAGAAAATTCATTATTTATTTAAATTTTAAATTACATTTATTGGTTGGGTGGCACATGCATATGCCACAGGAAGTATGTGAAGGTCATAAGGCAGGGGTTGGTAGCACATCTCTGCTTTCACCCTGTGGGTCCCAGGGATTGAACTTAGGTCATCATGCTGGGTGTTGAGAACTTTTACCCACTGATCCATCTCACCAGCGAGGGGGAAATTTATCCCCATCATTTATTGTAACATTGTCATTGTAAGACCGAGTCTGCACATCAAGGAGAGAAAGGAAAAACAAAGTTGTAAAAGTTATCTTTATTTGCAGTCAGTATGAGAGTCCGTAAATGAAGGCCTAAGTTAGTCACTATAATATTCAAATTAAATCGCTAAAGCTAATAAATGAATTTAGTGAGACTGTCAGACACGAAGTCTATAATCAAAATTCATTTGGACTTTTATAATGACAGCAAACTTTTGGTAGAAGAAAATTTATACTGTGCAAGAGAACTCAAATTTTGTCATAACCTCAAAAACAAGATATGGATAAAACTTCAGGAGGAATAATGAGTAAATAGGTTAAAAAAAAACTAATGAAAATACCAGAACAATACATATGTATATAAACATATATGATGCTGAAAAAAATGGATAAGTGCTTAAGATTACCTTCAAACTGTAAACTACATCAAATGTAAAATTTATTTTCCAGCTTCTAGAGATGATCTCCCTTTGGTAGTGAGCTTGCCTGGCATTTGTGAAGCTTTGGATTGAATTCCTGGCATTACATTTACCAGGTGGGGAAGCAGACACCTTGAAAGCCCACAATTCAGGAAGTAGGGGTGGCCAGATCAGAAGCGGCTATCCTCCTTAGCTAAAGACTGAACTCTAATCCAATCTGGGATATATGAGACAGTATTTCAGAAATGCATTTTCCCCTTCCTCAGAGGATCGTAAGCACACACAGAAGCTAAAACTAAGCAATGTAGGTATTAAAATCTTTATAATCATGGTTGGTAACCCAAGGTTTTTTAGAGTAAATAAAATAATATAATAAAGACACGGGCTAAGCCATGAAATTGTACATGCGGCCTTCCATACTGAAGCATTCTGGTTCTTGTCATCTACTTTTCTGTGCTGAGCAAGGCTGAAATACTTATCACTTATGGAGAAACATGGGAGATCCTCGCACATGGATCGACCTTTGCTGTGTCAGTAGCCAACAGACCAGTAGCCTTGTACCTCTGTTTCTATGACACTTTTCCGTGTGATACTTTCTTTGGAAGCCACAGGGATGTCTACTTCTTTGGAGGCAGAGCTACTAATTGGTTGTAACATCAGGTATTAGTGCTTGCAGCTGAACAGGAATACGTGTGAGCTTACAAGGCATGTTGATGAACGTTTCAGTAGTACTTTTAGACACATTGCAGGGCCATTCCTATGTAGCATAAGAAAAAGACACACATACCTTTTTCTGTGTAAGAGAGAAATGGTGACAAGTGACACAGAAGTGTAGGATTTCAGAAAACCACAATTAGTGATGTGTTGGCCTTCGCCCGGAGGCTGCTGGCCTGGATGAAACGGAAGCAAACGATGAAGTAAAGCAGACATGCCAGCTTCCTTGATTGGCCCTTGCTCTTTCAAGGCACTTTGCAAGCAGAAATTGGGGTAACATTTCCACCAGCCACCAAAACTTTGAAGGGAGAGTGTAAGTGCAAATTATTAAAACCAATGAAAAGTAACCACCAAAAGTTAGTGGCATCTTAAACAAACATTCTGTACAAAACTGTTTCAGTCACTCAAAAAATTATTTCCCTTAATTTAAAAACGGTTTGATTCGGGCCAAATGTAAACTTTCTTTTATGCCATTCAAGTATAATAAGTTGAAGTTTTGTTTTTTTTGTTTTTTTTTTTTTTAATGAGAAAACTACATACATTTTCTTCCACTTAAGTCAGCAGGCCATTTCTGCGTCTGTCATATCAAACTAAGAGTAAAAAAAAAAAACATTTCAAGATTTTTCACAAAAATAGGCTTTGGAGAATAATGCTTCTTAACAATCACTAGACTGAAAATATTTCTACCCACTTATAGTGAAATTTACATATGTTCGTAGAACAAAATGTTATCAAATCACAAACTTTATGCTTATGTTATGTTAAAAAAACAGGTAAAGAGCCATATTTATCCTTGTAAGGTCTAAGAGTAAATTATATTCATTTGTTTTCTTTATTTTTATTTCAGTGAACTCTGACGACTCAAATGATCTACTGAGGCAGACTGGAAGCGGGAGGCCAGAGAAGCTCACTGGGAAGGCTAAATCTCTGAAGGAAAAAGAAAAACTAAAAGAAAAACATGTGTACTCAAATTTCAAAACTTGAGATAGCTAAGAGGTTCAGTGTGTCAAGGTATTTACCACCAAGCCTGATGACTGGACCCCACATGGTGGAAGGAGAGAACTGACTTCTACAACTTGACCTCTGACCACACATGCAAGCAGTGGCACATGTGTGCACATCACAGAATAGATAAGTGTTAGATTTTCTCAAAACCTATTCAAGCTCCTGAGAGTGTCCTTGTCTGAATGTGTGTGTGTGTGTGTGTGTGTGTGTGTGTGTGTGTGTGTGTGTGTGTGTGTTTATGTGCAATATATTGCGTTATTCAATGCTGTGTCCTCTTACTTTTTTTTCACTATTAAATGGCATGGTGCATTTAATTTCCTATTGCTGTGATAACAAATTATCACTAACTTAGTGGCTGTTTATAACATAAACTTATTGTCCTACATTTTTGTCAGTTTGAAGTCCAGAGTGATTCTACAGGGCTATGTTCTTTTGGGAGCTGTAACAAAAAAAATGGCATTTTTTTTTCTGTTTAGCTTCTATGAGACTCTCAGATGCACTGGCATGTGTGTCTACATTGCTCTACCTCTACATTTACCACCATCCATCCTTTGGTTTTGACCATGCTGCTTTCGTCTTACAGAGAATCTTATGACTGCATTGGGGCCATCTAGGAAATGTCCCTTTCTGAATATTCCTAGTTGAATCAAATATGTAAGGCAAATGTTTCTGTCTTGCAACATACTGTCATCACAGTTTCTGGACACCAGGAAGGGTACATTTTTAAAGGGGCAAATTATCTGTTACTCAGGGAATTCAATACTAAAGTACTTTTGAGAAGTGCTGAAAATATGAAATGGTCATTTTTAAGGAAACAAATGAAGTTTTTAAAAATCATGTAAGTTTAGAAACTTTAAATATGTGTAATTAAAAGAATTTCAAAACTAAACGTACCATTCTTTCCTGATCAACTTATAAATGTATAAACATGACATGTAACTTAGTGACGATGGTGATTACCGATCTTTCATCTTAATCAATGCTTGCTTCTGTTACTGTTTTTACTAGCCAAACACTTCGCTGTGTGTCTCTTAATATTTTCATCTTTGGTTTCATACTAAAATGAATTAGATACAATCTTATATGCCTTTCTTAGTCTGAGAATCTAAAGGCTTAGTATCTCTGAGGCAAAGATATTATATTTATTAAAATCATGTATACTATGTCTAACAAAATAATTATACACTAACAGTATTTAATCTACTTTCATAATCCTCCCTCACATTGTTAGCATTATCTATCTTGTCTTGACAGGTTTATGTGAAGAAAGTCATACTTCACTAAGGTTTTAAGCTAATAAAATCCTGGTAGAAACTTTCAGCAAGTCAAAGGTATCAGAGAGTCCATTGTCAAAATGCCTATCATATCAGCTATTTAGACATAAAGAATATAGACTCCTCTAACAGAGCATAATAGAGAAGCATTTGATCCTTTTATACCATTACAGATTTAGTAGCATGAAAAAGTGGGAGATGATGCAAAGAACCAGGCAATGGTGTCACCATACTGATGTGTGTGCATGGACCATGTAGGAAGTTTGCAGACAATAAACTGCTACATATCCAATGAATGGTATCATCTACTAGAATAACATGGTATACAAAGATAACAGAGTGTGATAGTGTGGGAACTGAGAGTAGAATGAATATGAAGGACCCATCCATGCATGGAGAGATCAGGGTTATAAATTGTGGGCAGAGGAGTCATATTATGTTGGAAATGGGACAGCTATAATGAGAACAATTTGACTGAGTCTGTTGTCTTAAGGTTTATCCTGGGACCAAAAGGTCTTGCTGTGGAATTGCAGACTGCTGTGGAATTATTTATAAGAAGAATTTTTCTTATACACCAGAAGAAGCCACAATAGGAATTTAAATAGGGAAGAATGTAATTTAACTTATGGTTAAAATATCTTACTTTATTGTTTATATGTTTTGAAAGAATAAAGAACAAAACCAAGGAGAACTTAAAATTGAAAAGTTTTGTAAAAGTGAGTTATTATGAATTTTTTAAAACCAGAAAGCATATAGGGAATATTGAAGAAATGAGGAAGAAAAGGGAAAGAAACTGAAAATTTTTGGCTGGTTCAGCCTAGTTAAACAGTATCAATACTATAGAGCTCAAATCTAGAGCTGCCTTGCAGGGAGATTTTTGTACATTTTAATTCCTCTCCTTATTAGCTGTCAATTATTGATTTAGAACTAAGGCAGGGAGAAAATAGCTCCCTGTCTCTCTCACCATGTGAAGTGTGCTCTCCATGCCCCTGTAGGGAAATCCATTGAGAATCCTTGTAGATCCAGCATGCTGGGAAAGAAAACGTACCAGGAATGGCAATAGGTAGTGAATATTGAAAAACTCTGGGTGGAACCAGGAACTGTCTGACTCTCCGTGTATGAGAACTGACACTAATTGTGGCAGGTACTTCAGGGTTATGCTAAATATTTTATGTATGATCCTGTTTAGATAGGAGCATCCTTTATTTCTGGTGTCTGGTATTTGGTCAGTTGCTCCAAGTCAGTTTCTCAGGTGAGTGATTTCTGCTTCTATTCTAATCTAAGCCCCTTATTCTCTCCTTATAGTTAGGAAGCAAATTTCCATCCTTTCTTCTAAGGGCAAAATAGTGGTCCCCAAACTATACACTTTTCATCTTAATTCATCTTCAATTTTGCTCATTTTTCTTTTTTTCTTCTCCTTTATCCCTACAAAATTATAAATTCTGAATTTTCAGACTAATTTTTCTAGTTAGTTATATCCCTCTAAAAGGAGAGACATGTACAGGATAGTGAAACACATCAGAGCTGAGCTAAAAAATAATCCATGGTCCCTTCTGGAGTGATCCCTGAGCTGTAAGTGAGGGACTTGTATTGTGAATATATCCAGAGAGACTTTTATTGTGAATATATCCACTGGGACTGAGATCCACAACTCTGCATTCTGATTGGCTGTGGTTTTCTGTAATGGTCTCCATCTGTTGCAAAGAGAAGATTCCTTGATGAGAGCTAAGGACTCCAGTAGTCTGTGGGTATAAGCACAAACATTTAGAATGTAGTTAGGGATTATGCTGGTTTAGTAAAGTGGTGGTTGTAGGTCCTCTGTGACCCAGAGCTTCATTAGTCCTGAAAGATTATGAGAATCATAAGAACAGAGAGTTTAGTTTGAGATTGTATCTCCTAGAAATGTCAGAAGCTACACCCATAAAATCTTACCACCATGACTGACTAAACATGGTTTGATCAAGAACAACAAACATGCTAAAGTGGATGGGGAAGCCCAGGTGGCTTCAATTGTATACAAGGGAATGTAGGCAACGTGGGAGAAATAGTCCTTCCCATGGAAGAGGACATCAATTGATTATCCAATGACAATTGGTCAGCCTTGAAAACACATACTTGAAAGTAACATTATACAGATTGAGCGGGTGATACTTATTTATTTAGAGATATTTATGTATAGATGCATAATAAACTATTGAGAAACAAAGGCTGTGAACTTGAGAGAAAGTAAGGAGAGGTATATGGCAGGTATTTGAGGGGTAGAGTAGGGAGAGAAATGATATAATTCTATTATAATTTAAAAATTTAAAGAAAGAACTTAAAATAATCTCTTGTCTCTGGTACTTACATTCCAAAAGTTTATGACTTTGTTTTGTATATTTAATTTCTGATTTGAAATTCTTTGGGCATATTTATCTTGTTATCAGATAGAAAAGTTGGTAAATATCTGTTCATTCCAACTCCTGAAGATGTGTAAAAATGTTCACTGGCAGAGGAAGTTGTCATGTGGACAATAATCATAAGAGGCAAAGGTAGAAAAGGATTAAAAATCACTATTACATATTAGGATCAAGGTCTTAATATGTTCTTTATTACACTACTCTTATTCCTTTTCCTATAAATCAATGCCACAAAGTTGAATGTGTTCTGACTCCCTCCAGCCCCACGCTGAAGATAAAGAAAGGCTGAATGTCTTCAGCTGTCTTATACTCATTCTAAGGAGGGATACTGCTTAAACACGTACTTCACATCTTGTACTATGCTTGATATTTTGCATTTGTAATGGGAATTTCAACCTAGAGTAATCATCTGTGTTAAATGTGAAGACCTTGAGGAGCATCACACCAAGTGCATGACATTGTACTGAAAATAACCTCATTTGAATGCTAGGGGTGATAAGTTCCATCTTTCACTTTGGGCTAATCAATTATAATCCAAAGATAATATGATTTTAGTATTAAAGGTAATGTGATTTTCAGATACCTTGAAATCACTGTATGTGTGAGGTTCAACCACTGAGAAATGATGGCTTGTTAAAAGGCATAGAATTGTGAGGATTTTATATGTGTTCTTTTTAATTAATTTATTTATTACTTTAACTCCTGACCCAATAAAGGGCAAATTTCATGAATTTATGATGACATGACAGCACAAAGGATAATATTTAATGGGTGACTATATGTACATACATACATATATATATATATATATACATACATATGTGTGCATCTGTGTAATAAAAGACAGAATTTGTATCAAGACATCCATTATTGGAAGTGAAAATGTTTCTTCCATGCATAAATGCTACCCAAATATAATTTTAAATGTATATATTAATAATTTATGGTGGGTGAAAACTATGGAAAATACTGAGAACTTAGTAATTATTAAAACAGTTTATGTTTTTGTAAATAAAATACAAATCAATATGCAAATAGAACTACACTCACAGCTAAGAACGTTTTGATTTTCCTATATATTCTAAATGACACAAAATTGTTTATTTCTTTGCCCTGCATTTTCTATTGTCTATACAGTTATGCAGAAATCAATATATGCTTGATATATTCCATAGCACAGAGCACTCTCTGGTATATAGTAAATTATCAGTTAATATTGGTTTAGTGAGTAAATGATGGTTGGAGGCTGTGAATCAGTAAAAAGGCAGTCAACAAAGAAACCACTGAGATGGTTATTCCCAGGATTCTGAAAGACGCATAGCTCTTCCTGAGATGTAATAGAGATAGAAGAGCCAATGTCAGAGGGAAAGTTTATGTACAAGTCCAATGGAAAGATTCAGTAGAGGGAATAAACATGTAAACATACAACTGAAAAAGAGAACCGCAGGCAGGGAGGGAGGGAGAATAAATGGTCTGCTGTGGGAAGGTGTGGGAACAAACATTCAGTAAGATGGCTTATGACAGTGCTAATCAAATTTACTGTTTTTCCTTTTAGCTTTGAGAAATAGTTTAAAAAAGATGTAAGCTGTGGGTACGGCATCACAATCATGTTTTAAAGGTGTTTGTTGTGGGAGATGTCCATAGTGAAATTGGAAGGAATGTTCATAAAGCACAAGAAGAAGGTTATAAGACTTAAAGGAGATGTCAAGAGGAAAGAACTGAGAATCTGATAGTACTGAAGGAACTCAAGGAAAAAAAGGATCCCTCCCAATGAAGCTGAAAAGTAAGTTGAAGCAAAGAATCAAACAAATATTTATTGAGTATAAGGGCAGCATTACTAGTTTTACTAGGAGGAGGTCAAGTACTCTGCCTTATGTATACATGAGTGTAAGTACATGATAATGTTATTGGGTGATATTACCAGGCTTTATTTCAAACATGTATAACAGTCCAGAGTACAATAAGATATAGTCAAGAGCCCAAACTTAGACAAACCTGAAAACCTTGAAAACCTGGATGTTTAACATGAACCAATAGTGGCAATGAGGTAAGAAAGTAACTTTCTATGAATTCAAAGCTGTGTTTACAAGTTTATTTCTATTAGCATATATTAATTTAAAATGTAATAGTTTTTTCCTTACATCTGTTTAACATAATTAGATCATTTTACTACTTGTATCCTTCCTTATCACCTTGCTGATGCCCTTTTTCTCTTTCCACATGTTTCATACTGGTTTCATATTTCTGTCTTATCCGAGACCCAGTATATGAAAGGAAGTACCTGCTGCTTGTTTTGTGTATTGACTTGCCCCGTTTCCATGATGATCCCCAGTTTCACTCATTTACCTTCAAAGTTCATAAATTCATTCTTCCTTGTAGTTGAATAAGAATTCACTGTGCATATATCACATTTAGAAGTATATTTGAATGCATGTTTTCAGAGATGACCATTTGGTATCAGATAACCAATTGGTGTGCTCTTCTCAGCATTCTTTAGTTTCCTGTAGTTCCTTGTAAGTAGTTGACATTTCCTGTTCTTTTTCCCTCCACTGAAACTGAAACTATGCATATTGCTATGCTAGTCAGTTACAATGTAATGGAAACTCTGGATTTTAACGGCTCTCCAGAGGACATGAGATAAAGCTTCAGGTACATGCTACATGATTTGTCAGTGCTTAGATACTCATGTAATTTCTATGATATCAGATGAGCAATGGCTGAGATAGAATGTATACAAGAGAGACAATTAAAGATGTGGTCTATCTAGGCTCCTATCTCTGGCCACTCTAGAAGTGTCAGGTATGGGTTCCATCAAAGAGAGTGGGCCTTAAATCCAATCAAGAAATGGCTGGTTTGTCCCATGTTTATTCTACTCCAACCTAAAACAAAATCTGTTTGTTTTGTTTTATTGTTGTTGTTTGTGTTGTATGTGTGTGTGTTTCACAACATTTGGTCTTTCTCCCCTATGTAATGTCCTCAGCTCTTGCACAAATTCTTTTTTTCCCTCTTATTGAAAATGGGTCCTTTTCTCATAAAATATATCCAGATTGTAGTTTCCCTTCCCTCTACTGTTGCCATTTCTTCCCCACCTCCCCTTCCTTCCAGATCTACTCTCTTTTTCATTAGAAAAGAATAGGCTTCTAAGAGATAACAATCAAGCATGACAAAATAAAATATAATAAGAGGAGGAAAAACTGTCATATCAAAGTTGAACATAGCAACCCAACAGGAGGAAAACAGTCCCAAGAGCAGGAGCAAGAGTCAGAGACCCACTCGTTCTCATAGTCAGGAATCCCATTAAAAATACTAAGCTAAAAACTTTGCTATATAAGCAGAGGACCTGGTGCAGACCCATGTAGACCCTGCACTTGCTGCTTCATTCTCTGTAAGCTCATATGCACCTGGGTTATTTGATTCATAGGGCCTTGTTCTTCCAGTATCCTCCATCCTCTCTGGCTCTTAAAATCGTTCTGCCTTTCATTCTTTGGGATTCCTTTAACTCTAAGGGGAGGAATTTGATGGAGACCTTCCATTTAGACCCTCTCTATGGAATATTTGGCTGTGAGTGTCTGCATCTGTTCCAATCATCTGCTGGAGAAATATTCTCTGATGAAGACAGGATAAGGCACTGATGTATGAGTAGAGCAGAATATCATCATGAGTCACTTTATTGCTCCATTTTTGGTTTTGGCTGGTGCCAGTGGTGCTTGATTTTACTCTAGGTCTCTGGGTTATATAATTTCTGGTTCTTGGTTAACCAAGCAGTGTCTGATATGGGTTCCTTTTCATGGTATGGGCTTTAAGTCACATAAGCCATTGGTTGTCTACTCCCACAAATTCTGCAACACCATTGCCTTAGCATATTTTATAGGCAGGGCAGATTATAAATCAAAGGTTTTGTGGCTGGAATGTGGGGGTGGAAGCTCCATGTAGGCATCAGCTCGACTTTTCCATGTTCCATGAGTTGTGTTGTCCTTGGCAATGCAGCTGAACTGTCAGTTTGAAGAGAACAACCATTTGTCTTAACATCAGCTTGGGTTGTTTGGGAATTTCCATGGGATATGCAACCCAGTCCAATCGCTAGAACCTTTGCCTGGAGACAAGAGGTTGCCAGTTGAGCTTCCGTATCTCCCATCACTAGGCATTCTCATTAAGATCACCTTTGTACATTCCAGGAAGTTTCTACTGTGCCAGGTTTACACCCAAAGGCCCCGCAATTCCTCCCATCTCTCCCTGCACTCCTTCTCTCCACTCTGTCTCTCCAATTTTTCGTGTTAGTTTTGATTTTTGTTTGCCTGGGCATTTCTTAAAAGTGAGAGAGAGAAAGAAAGAGAACATAAAGTAGGGTAGATAGGGAAGTTGGTATGATCTGGGAAGAGTTGGGAGAGTAGAAAACATGATAAAAATTATACTGTATGAAATCAATTAATTAATATTTAAACATATGGAAATAAAGCACAAAACTAAAAGATACATAATTAATTGTAAATCCAGAGGATAAAACTAATGGACTGTTGAAGAGAATTTTTTTTTTTGAGAAAGGGTTTCTCTGTGTAACAGCCCTGACTGTCCTGGAACTCACTTTGTAGACCAGATTGGCCTAAAACTCACAGATTCCACATGCCTCTGCCTTCTGAGTGCTTGCATTAAAGGCATGTGTCACCACCTACAAGAAGAAGTTTTTAAAATATAAATTGCAAGAATTTTGGGTAACAGAGAACCTATAAAATGCCTTAGATTTTAAAAGCAAGGTAATGGTCAGGCCTGAAAAATACATAGGAGTGAAATACACAGTCTGAGCAGGATATATTTATGCATTTAGGAATATATGTGCATATCTATATTCACATATGCACCTATCAGCAATTAATGGAAAAAGAGCTCTTTAATTTGAAAAAGAAGAAGTAAGGGTATATGGGGGATACAGTTTGGAATGAAGAAAGTGAAGGCAGTAATGAGGCAATCATACAACAATCTCAAAATTAAAAGGATTAAAAAAGCAGAATGAAAATCATGCAAACAAATATTTGTCTATAAGCAAATAATTGTTGTTAAGGTTATACAGTTTCAAAAAACATGAGACTTT